ACCTGCAGGATCAACTGTGGGGCACGGAGTTTTTCCGGTTTTTAGTAGAGCAGCCGTGCTATGAGCTTCGGGAGATATCCGACTGTCTAGTCGTGTGAGAGCCTCAGGATATATTCTGGGTGATTACCTACTTGAGCTTGCTGGATGGGAATTAAGGCTTAACCACCGCCAAAAAAAACCAAGCTAGACTACTACTAAAGGAAGCTTCTGAAGCTGACAAGCGCCGCTCAGCCAACAGGTGAGAGAATAATCCCTGGTCGGATATGGAGATTTTGCGATATGAGTGATATTCTCTACAATAGGTCAACCATAATCATCCTTTCAAGTCTGCTTATTGTAAGGCGCCTTACCTTCCGGTTTAAGCGTTGTGGATTTCAGCAAAGTCCCACGCTCTTACTTATTATCCCTTCGGCTGCCCGCCCCCCCCCAAAAAAAGCAAATTATGTGTGGCTTTACTAACAGATCCTGTTATCTCTCTTATCAAATAATAGATCTCCCATACAAATTTAATTCCCGTATTACAAGGGGGGCAGCATCGCCGGACTATGGGATACACCCGGTTCTTGAATGATCGCACTTGAAGTCGAGGAAAGGTAAACTTTCTCGTGATTATTGCTCCTGCCATTGTACTGACCCTTCTTGAACCTAATGCCTTTACAAATTGTAAAATACCCCATATATATGTGTACAATATTCCAAATAATGTTTGCCGGAATAATGAGGTATGAGTCGGTTAAAAAAGAAATCGAGCACTCAAGTAGGTTGGATGTGATATAAGGACCAAACCTGAATCAGCGCTCATAAGTAGTAACGGGCGATAATTATAAACAGATTCAATGATATCAGTTACATAAGAACTATCTTGGTCTATATATAACGAAACAATAATGCTAGGCCTAAGCCGCCAGGAAGACCCAAAGACTGCCCTAGCTTGTGCTTCATACCGGTACTTATATACATGTATCTATGGAGTTTGATGAATGAATATTATCCTCAATCGCTCTGACATATTGCTGTGATATTTCGACTTCTCTTCATTCATTTATTAAGTGAATTTATTTGAATTTATTTGAATTTATTCAAATTCTGCTTTGCACCATGTGAGATTAAAACTAAAATTGCAATCAACGTCCGAGTGATTTATCATGATACAACCAGAGCAAGCGGCAGGTCCAAGCTTTAAACCTATAGCTACATGTAGGAACGCCAAGAAAAGATGTAGCAAGAATCTGAGGTTTTACTCTCCAGTATCTGCCTTCTGCTATCTAGCATACCAGGACGAATAATCATCTCGGGATCGCTTGAACATGATAGTTTATAGATGTCCAGAGGCCAAATGCTTGGATGGATGAACGGAGTATTATCCAATCAAGAATTCACTGAGTTAGGGGACGTATTAAAAGTACCATAATAATGGAAGTAAAGGGTCGCAAACGGCATCCTAGAAGAAATTCACTGTAATACTGAGATCCGGTGTAATTTGAGCCTAGCTGGCCGGGGAGACGAAAGGAAACTGGAACCTGAAAAGCGGGGTGTATGAAAAGGTATATATATTTACAAAAATAAAAGCGTAAGAGAAATACGAGCTTCAGAGGGACATCTCTAGATTATACTGCAGTAGGCTTTTCTCCCTCCAGCACAACCTTTGCTACACCGTCCGCCAACACGCTAACCTTGCCACTCTCCTCCTGCTCCTTCTTTGTAGCAATTCTCTTCTTCATCTCGTCCACCAAGTTGACTAACTCGACATCAACTCCGTTCTTGTCAGGGTGTCCTTCGGGGAGACCCATCTCCTTGATCTTTACTTTTCCTTCCTTCATTTCATCCTCGCCCAGTACAATTGCGAATGGCACGCCGTTCTTATCTGCGGCGGCGAATTGTTGGGGAAGTTTTGGCTTGACTTTATACGAAAACTCGGCCTACTCAAGTTAGTGATAGATCTTCTAAGCGGCCAATCTATAAATAAATACCTTCACTCCTGCATCCCAAAGCATTCTGCAGACCTCCATTCTCTCCTTCACCAGTCCCGTAAAGCCTTTTCCTCCGAAAGCCATCACAAACACGTCCACCTCGTTTGCTCTCACCTCCGCCAACATCTTCGCCTTGGTAATTGAGAATATTCTGTCCACACCAAACGAGATACCAACACATGGTACCCGTCCCTTAGCAGAGTTGGCGAACATGCCAACCAACTCATCGTATCTTCCACCTGCAGCAATCGATCCAACACCGATCGAATCATCGTTAGAACGGTCGGCATCTGGGTCGTTAGGATCAACGGACTTAACAGGCTTCTTGGATTTGTGGCCTTTGGCGGGGGGTGCAGAGGCCTCGGTGACAACTTCGTAGATGATACCGGTGTAGTAGTCAAGACCACGGGCAAGAGAGAGGTCAAAGGAGAGCTTAGGCATGACGTCAAAGATCTCAAGGTAGTCAAAAAGCAGGCCCATATCCTTCAGACCAGCAGCGAATGACTCATTTGAAGTGAGAGTTCCGTCTTTGAGGAGCTCATCGAGGAGGTTGCGCCCACCCTTCTTGAGAACGTATTCTCCAATCTTATCGGCGACAGCGGGGTCAAGACCCTTCTCATCGACCATCTCTTTTCGTACCTCTTCCCATGGAGACTATTAAAATCTTGTCAGCTAGATGCCATCCCGAGACATGAGCACCACTCATGATAACATACCTTATCGAGCTTGTCGACGGCACTCGAGATTGTCCTGATCTTATCTGTGGGTACACCACAGATTTGGAACAGCCCATCAAGGATCTGTCTATGGTTTATTTTGATAGTATACGTTCCTAAGTTGAGCCCATCCAAAATCTCGGTAGTGATTCTTAAGATCTCCGCATCGGGAAGCATAGGGTCGTATACACCAGCAATGTCGAAATCACACTGGTAGAACTCTCTCATACGGCCCTTTGTCATCGCAGGCTGGTCGCGGCGGTAAACCTTTGCGATGTGGTATCTCTTAATTGACTGGATTGACGGGTTCATAGCGAGCCATCTCGCGAATGGAACTGTAAGATCGTAGCGGAGAGAGCAAATTTCACCACCTTGGTCGGCAAGGTCGTAGATGAGCTTTGAATCTTCACCGTATTTTCCTATGAGGACTTCACGGAGCTCAAATACACTGAGTTGTTGGTCATGTCAGCTTTTACCGTTTATTGCAATGGTTCGGAAGGAGGGGCGAAGCCTACGGGGTATCTATAGTGACCGCTCCATGGCGTTTGAACACATCCGTGATAGTTCCAAATATCTTATCGCGGATGATCATATCCTTGCCCTCCCAATCTTTGGTACCCTTCGGGACCTTTAGATTCAGCATTCCCTTGCCTTTCTCCTTCACGGCCTTTTCCTTCGGCGCCATATTTAAATCCTTGTTCCGCGAAAGAAATTGGGATGTGGAAAATCCTCTAATCGGTGTTACTGTAGATCTCGAGTAGAATCTCGATGCAAATTTGGTTGCCGTCGTACGGTAGAGAAGTTTGTGGAGCTGTGAGGGGTAATGGAGGGGCAACTTCATTGCGGACGTCACAAACAAGGTGAAACAAAAATCATAGAGCCCTAGTGACTGAACCAGCCGACCCCGCGTTCTTTGCATCCCTGAAGATGTGTTCGTAAGAGCCGCAGGGTTAGGGTTATTTCAATGGTACATACATAATAATTTGTTTTTGTCACGGTGTTATCCCTTAACCCATCAATTGCTGACCCCGGTGATAGAGGGGTTGAATTTGTATGGGAGATCTATTATTTGATAAGAAAGATAAGATCTGTTAGTAAAGCCACACCAAATTTTCTTTTTTTTTGGTGGGTCAGCACTTTGGTGACGGTTTAAGGGATACGAAATTGTTACTATCCTGACAATGGTTAAAGAGTGCCGAGTACCGATGTCACACTTAAGAAGCTACAATAGCTTGTAGCTAAGATGGGGAAATACTGTTCGCAATGAACGGGGTTAGTAAAAGGAAATCATTTTTGCGCATTTGATTCCACTCTTTCCATTAAATATTTATTTTTATAATTTCAATTCAGATTTAACAGAATAATTAATGGATTTAGCAAGTAAATTCAATGCTGGGTCTGCCGCAGGTTCTCATCGATCAACCACTTACAAACGATCCCTTCGAAATACTTACCTCTTTGACATCTTCCCGGAAGTGCAAATACCTACATAACAATCAATCGATCTCTAATAATCGGTAGTTCCAACTAGATTGGCTAGTCAATTTTCACTTGTGTACCTACATTGCGTTGGCTGCAACTACCAAAACAAAACAACTCCAACATCATGATTTATCACTCACTCCTAATTAGACATCGTGCTCATCTCAACAAATTGTCCTTAAAATTTGCCACGAATCTAGAATTTTTAATCGCTCAATTTAGTACTACAACGTGCACATATCCCCTGTTAATCGTTTGTTTCTTCTGCTAGTATGGTCTACTTCTAAATATCGTGGGAATTTGGCGTTGAGGCTGTACTGTACAGCCCCTGAGGTTGATTGGTTGAACACGTGGGGCTGAACTAACTCGTCACCCTGCATGAATTTGTATCCAAGTAACGCAGTAGCGCCATCCCAAGATCTTGATATGCTGCAGGGTTAGGTTTATAAACCTACGAAAGCGTGATGCAATCTTACAAGGAATGCATAATCTGGGGCTAGACTTGCTGGGCATGTCTGTCAAGTTCTAAATAGTAGCTTCCTTATTGGATATTTGTCACGGCGCATCCTACAAGTCCTTCAATTGAGGCAAGTTGCCACCCACCGTGATGGGCACGATACGCGGATGTGGTTAATCGGGGAGTTGTTTGTGGATGCACACGGCACAGCTTCCAAGCCTACATCGATCCTCCGGTGTGTTTATAAATGCATGTGTTTCCCGACTTCCCCTCATCATCTTCCCCGCATCTATCAATCTAAAGCTCCAGACCCGTATATCCATCCTACTTTATCAACACATCCCACTTTTAGTAGCCCAAAGCTCTCTCATAGAAATGGATCTCCTTAAGAATCTCGCTGGTGGTGCCGACAACAATGACCAACGCGGCCAGCAATCATATGGCCAGCAGTCACATGGCCAACAGCAGGAATATGGCCAGCAACAACAGCCATACGATCAGCAGCAGGGCCACTCTTCATCTGGCTCAGGCTCCGGCTCCGGCCTCGGTGGTATGATCGGCGGATTGATGGGTGGTGGCAGCCCAAAGCAGTCGCAGCAGCATCAACCTCCCTCGTCGTACGGCCACCAAGATCAGTCGTACGGCCAGCAAGGTCAGTCATACGGCCAACAGGGCGGGTCATACGGCCAGCAAGGCGGATCGTACGGCCAGCAAGGCGGGTCGTACGGCCAACAGGGCCAGCAGTCATACGGCCAGCAGCAAGGTCATTCCTCCTCGGGTTCTGGCTCTGGTTCAGGCCTCGGCGGCATGATCGGAGGACTGATGGGCGGTAGCGCCAAGCCCCAACAGCAGCAACAATCATCTTACGGCCAGCAGCAAGGACACTCTTCATCCGGCTCTGGCTCTGGCTCTGGCTTGGGTGGCATGATCGGTGGATTGATGGGTGGTAGCAAGCCTCAGCAGCAGCAGCAGCAGCAAAGCTCCGGCGGTTGGGGCGACAAGCTCCACGGCATGATTGGTGGTGGCCCAGAGTCAGAAAAGAAGGAAGACACCGTTGATAAGGGTATGCGCTTTATTCCAATATCTTGAGGAAGTAGTTACTAACAAGGTCCTCGCTTTAGCTGTTGACCTTTTCCAGGAGCATATCCTCAAGCAGGGTCCTCAAAACAATGAGAGCGCTTTCGAGCAAGCTAAGGATGAGCAGATTGGCAACTGTAAGAATACCCGTACATGACCTTTCCCAATTTCGGCCATCTCTAATAACTCGCAAATTATAGTCATCCGATCCCAGTACAAAAACTACACCGGCAAGGATATCTCTAAGAAATAAATAGGTTACATGTAAATATACGCTATTTTCATTTTGTTTCAGGATTGGGTTTTTCTTTTTTCTACTTTAAATTACGAAATCATGTCCGGTTACGTCATATGTAAAGCATTTGAAACATTCGGCTATGCCTGTTTTGGAATCAAGCTTACAACAAATTCTAACCAAACTACAAGTATTAGAGTCTTTTATCCACACTCACTCGAAGGTTGAAAGATGGGAATCGAGGCAAAACGACCAGGATCTTTGCATGAAAAGACCTAACCCTGGATTTTAGTGAGCTGAGGAAATATGATCTGTCTAATTTCTCAGAATTACGCTGAGAGAAGAATGAGTCCCGTCAGTTTATTGGTTCCTCCAGATTGAACTACTGCATATTCTTTCCTCCATTTGGCTTGTACATACAACCCCCGGTCGTTTTGCCTCGATACCCATCTTTCAACCTTCGAGTGAGTGTGGATAAAAGACTCTATTGGAAACGTAGACACAAACTCTTTAACACAGGTCTTTGGAGCAAATTTATAGCGATACTACTCAAATAGTGATACACGGATTTTTCTTGCACTACAAAGATCGTATTAAACCAATCGAAATCATGTTGAGATCGAGCCTTAATACTGACAAATGAGCAGCTAGTACGACAGAGCTATACCAATCAACTACTAAGACAGGTTCAACTAGGCACCTAATTCGACTCTCTTCGTGCCACCACTGCCATCCCAACCACAATTCAGTGAAACGCCGTCCATTCATCTTGTAGGTCTATAGAGTCCCATGACTTGAGGGATAGTCCAGTAGCTTTTAGGTCACAATATAAACTCCGGAAATGAGAATACTTGACAGCCTGTCCCTGAAGTCATGAGATCCAACAGGCCTACAAGAAGAATGGAACAGCGTTATATTGATTTGTGCCAGAGGTGGAAGTGTTAGTGAGAAAGAGGTCGTATCAGAATACAAGGCCAAAACCTGCCTTGTCCGTTCAGATTGATAATACAAACTCCAACGCCATACTAACTACTCAAATGTCAGTGTATCGGACCCAACCTCAAAGTGATCGCAATCGCAATTGATTGTCCTTTGGAAGCTCGGGGGATAATGCCCTCTATTTAAACTCTTCGATATCGGCTCATACTGACAAATACTGGCTCATACTGACAAATTCTGGCTCGTATACTATTAATAACAACCGGTCTGGATAAATTAAACAAGCTGCAAATTGCGATGAGTCAACATTACCCACATCAATATTTTGACTATGGTTACAAAAAGAAAACCACCATAAACACCCTGAGGCACAGTCTGCAATATCTTCCCCTCCGCCTCAAGTGAAACAGTTGGTCCAGACCTCCCCTCACATCATGCAGTGGGCCGAGGAAGAAACGTGGGTGTGGAATCCCCCCCTCCACATGTGTGTGCGCCGTTTTGTGCATTGTGGGCTATGGCCGATTAAAAACGTTGGATCACGGCTGAAGGTCGTGCCCCATGTGAGCTTGCCGCATGAGCATATTGGGACCTGATTCTGATTTGTGTGGCCCGGGGTTCGGCTAGATGAAACGGAGCCGAAGCTGCATGATTCCTTTTTGGTAGTTATGCTGGTACCGCGAACTCACATGCATAATGCGTACCATAATTGGTGCACTTAATTTAGCTAAACTCTTGTTTTCGAAGGCGATTTTGGAGATAAATGGAACTTACCAGTTGGAAAAACTATACATTTTCAGTAAGGGTGCTGCGTTGCGGTGGCATTGGAGGGTTTTCTTTTTTGCTCATAGAGGGTCACTCGTTGCAAGAATGTCGTGATACTAGTGATTGGTATAGCGGGAATCGCGCAAATTTCGGTTTCTGATGCGGAGTAATCATACTTAGGCTTACCTTGATTCTTTTCTTTTCTTTTTTAGTTGCACTTTCAGCTCCAATATAGATCTTTGCCTCGATCTTTTGCTTCTGACGGTCAAGTGATCCTGAGGCATTCTGTCGACGTTAGGATTATGATACTGTACTGGCTACTGAAAAGTCGAGTCTGTCCACATCATGAATTTTGATGTATGTATACAACTAGTGTGTTCCACTCGAGGTGAGCAGAGGCAAATGCATCGAGGTGCCTCTCTGCCTTGATAGCTATGTATTGCCCTACTCGAGCAAAGCAAGACGATGCCTCGAGGTGTTCGAAGCATTCGAGCCAAATACGAAATATTATAGGACAAGAATTGCAATGATATATTTTCCTAGAAACTACTAGTAACCTAACTTTATGTAATCAGAAATATCTAATATGGATATTCTTATAGGTCATCAGCTGCACGTATTTCAGCAGTAACAGTAGCTAGATGAGAACTCCATATGCCAAGTATAAGTTTGCTAATTACAGCATGGTCCAATGAACTTCGTGCAGCTAGAGGCGAGCAAGAAGGCTTTCCTTGAGCATTCTCGTGACTCTTGTAGAATCGACCCTGTGTCTTGAGCTGCCTCGAGGCGAGGTTTCGAGAAGTAATGCCCTGTGGACCACACACTTACGGCAATTCACCCTTTTGCCATCGTTTACCATGTCAAGTAAACAAAACAGGTTTTGCTCTTGTGTTCGCCGGTCCCCGGGCGAGGCTTCTGACCTTGGTTGTTGGCGCGTTGGTAACGATACATTGATAATAATGATCGACGTATACTTTTCCTTCTTCTAGTTAGCTATTCTTTATCTACATATTAGCTGACTTTTCAGTTGTTTGCCTTATGTAATGACAAGTGTCCTTCTCTGCTGCACCGTATCGCACTCGAGCGTTTCTAAATACATAGTTTTACTTATTCATTCTCTAAGACACTATGGTGATATATCACTTATTCATTTTCCCCCAATGTTCTAGGTTCATCTATGGGATAGCGATTGCAATTTCTCAATAAGATGAGATAATGGAATGAAGTCAGATAATTGGCAGCGCTAGACTTGCTCCAATCCACATGGTCAACTTAGACTCGTGGATTTCATCCCGCCGCCTATCTACATAATGGTTTACTCGATCTTCCTACACCGGCTTCTACTACGAGCCGAAGTTATCCGTTCTCTGGTACCGCTATCGTGCTGTACGACTGCGTTACCAATTGACGTTCGTTGCCCGTACTTAGCTCACTCAGTCCCTCATCACGAACTGATCTGTAATTTATGAGGGACTCTAAATGGCGTGCTTGGCGGTCCAATGGTAGACACTAGTACTATGCCAAAGACTGTATCCGAATAGGTTGACGTGTTTAGACATCTCTCTTTGGTCGGTTTTCCACGTGGCCAAGACCCCCTTACCCCTCATAACATTTTCCACAGGCGTCGCAAGTTGAATCACGATGCTCATTTCGAACGATGGGATGCCATCGTATGGAGTCCACTCCTGCCCTAACCCAGGCAATCACATTCTGTCCAATATTACGACTCTCAGGTATGCGTCTGCTACCCATTCAGTTTTGAATTAGACTTGCAGGGAATGTAATTCCGTTGGTTGACACCTATCTTCCGAGTGATCGTATATGATGGTGGTTGCTACTAGCGCTAGCTCGCCCCACCACGTGCACTCGATTGGGGAAGAAATATCAAGAAACTGATCATGAATATAGAGCAGTGACATACCGCGCAATTGTGATATTTGACTTTTCGGATTGCATAACTCTAGGCCCGCCAGTTTTTTTTTCCCTTTCTCTACCTGAGGACTTCAAGAAAGAAAAATGCGCGCTAAATAAAATGGAAACCACAGCTTCATATTCGCTCACTGAGTGAAGTTTGAAATCCTACTTGTCTAGCCTTGAGGTCTCTGGCGTATGGTAGCTTTACACATACTAATGGATATTTTAGAATTGCGTAATACATGGAAATATCATGAATATGATGCACATATATGCCATGTTTGAAATAGCTTAGACGCGCTTGTGCAAATTTCCACTAAATAAACGACAAACCTCAGGAAGTGGAGGTTGGATTTCGGATAACTGAGGATGCGCGCCTAGCTATTATAAGAGCATACCACGGGATGATTTTCCGCGAAGCAATTGGCAATTGTTCACCTGAGTCCAGTTCTATCACTAATTACACTGAAAACTGGCATTCTATTTAGGTAATAACAGTGTTTTAGTCGTTAACTTCTCCGTCATTCAAAATTCCTAATTCGCCATACAAACTCACAGTTTTCAGTGCATATATGACAGAAAATGAAAATCGGCACCGGCCAAAATACTAAAGACACAGGATGGTGAATCGCAGGCTTTAGTGGCCCCGTCTACACGATATCATAATTATACACATTGCATAAAACAAAAACAAAGCCTCCAAGTTCTCGAATGTTCATGATTATCAGCATATACGTATGTATGTAGCCACTGCAGTAATGATTCACTTGGGTTAGAAATCAGCGATATCCAAATGACTAATAAAAGGCCACAAGTCTGTCGTCGGGGGCTATATACGAATGCAAGGAATGAAGATCTATTGCGAAGCTGATAATGACGCGACCCTCTTGGGTGATCATGATGCAACTACGTGGAGCCTATCCATTCCCCATGTCAGATCTTCTGTCCTATTGTAACTGGGACGATAGATATAGAATCAAGAGCTCCTTTCTTTCTTTCTTCCTTTCTTTCTTTCTTTCTCTTTCACGTTTCCATCAGGCTATGTTTCGTCCCTCTACTTTTCAATCGGTCTTTACCTGGTTTTATTTGTCAGTCACGAAATTTCACTCGTCCCCCCCCCCCCCCCCCTCGATCTGACCAGTACTTTCAGACCGGCACTCTACGAAAGCGGGAATCGATCAGTTACAAAACCACGTCAAAGATAAGCTCATGTGAGGGGTGCCTCACCTCCTCTAAGATGCTTGTTTGAACGTCTCACACTAAATCCCGCGGTGCTGTTGTATAGAACCCATCTTACCTCCTCCTCGGAACGTAGTTAATGGATCAAGACCCCCATTCCTGTCTGCTTTGAGATTTGGCTGGTGCCTTTATACTGATATTCTCAGACATTAACTACTCACAGAAGACATTCACAGACTGCAGCTCCGTTATTTACATACACAACAGCCAGAGCCCGATCCTTTACACTTTGATCATGAATCATTCCAACTTATCTACATGAACCTCCTCCCCCTTCCCCCAAACCACACCCTGAATACCTCTATCCCATCATCATCACAAGAACTTATTCAAAAGCACATTTATTCTTTGTTACCATACTACTTCCCTATAACCCATTCCACAGTCGATCAACTGAAACTGCAAAAACAAAAGGAAAGAGTTCACAATTTTAGAGAAAAAAAGATAACTCCCTACCGATCGACCCTGGCTTTTGTTTTCCCAGCCCCAGCCCACCCCACCCCTTCCCAATCGCATCCAAGAAACATATAACGAGACAGTACAAGGCAAAAAAGCTCCGTTAACCAAGATTCCAAAGGAAAAGATAATAAAAAATAAACCAAACAATTGACAGTCACATTATGTTGAGGGCTTCAGGTCCGCGAGTTTTCTAACTGTTTTCTTGAACATATCAGAAATATAAGAATTCTTGAAAAAAAATTGACAAATAAAATCTCAACCCCAGATCCCACCTAACTGCAAGCAATAAACGGGGCGCCCAAATCCAAATCCAAATCCGTAAACCCATAATACCAAGAAATAGAGGAAAATAGGAAATGGAAAGAGAAAAACCAGACCCGAATTTTTGGTTCTCTTTTGAAAATAACGCGAATTGAAAGCAACAAAAGTTGAGACAAGAGATGAAAACCCCTTCCCAAAGTTACAACTGTAAAAAAAAAAAAAAGACAAAAAAAACGTAAGGGAGAAATGCATGCAACCCAACATACTTAGTTAACACCTCATTAGAAAAGGAGAAAAGGAAAGGAAAGTAAGGAGATATAAGAAAGTAAGGAAAGTTTAAGAGCGAACCAATTGTAAAGTACAAGAATAGAAAAAATGAAGTGGAGAAATAGTAACATACACTTGAGAAACATTTGTTACAGATTCTTCATTTGAAAATGACTGCACAGTAGGGAAGTTAACAATACACATTGTACAGGGAAGCATCCTCGCTTCACTGTGTAAGGAATTGCTCAAGACTTGACTCCATGCTATCACCTGCGGTGTTCAAAGCTTCAGCGGCAAGAGCCTCATAGCTTACTGACGATGTAGGTGCAGGCTCCTTGACATATAATTCGGTAGCATCATGATTCGTCAGGGCCTCAAACATGTTGTTCATATCCCGGTTAGAAGGAGCATTATTGTATTGAGGACTGCTACTAGACTCATTCCTCGATCGATGGTAACTAGCGCTGGGGTTGAAGAGGGCCGGATCCAAAGTGGGACCACGACCAGGGTTGTTCATTAAAACAGGAGACCCGAGTCTTCCGGGAGTTTGGTGATATCCAGGCTGACTAAAAGTCGGCGAACTCTGCGACGTCGATCCAAATCTTGAGTTCCCATAATCGAAATGGGGCTCTCCAGGAGATCGCTGGGATCCATGACCTGAATGGGTCTGGCCCGGGTTGATCGTGGTAGGGGTATCCGGTGAAGACGGCATAGTTGCCGATTTTGACGGAGCAGGTTTTATTATTGGGGGTGGTTTTGAGTTACCGTCAATGGACTTCTTTTTGGAAAAAGAATGAGATTTGGTCCTAAGTTGAGGCGGGAGATCGTCAGGGTTTGTGATACCCATCTGAGCCATTAACTTCTGCTGCTTCGTCGGACGAGGCTTGCGGGTGGACATAGAAACCTCGATGTTTGGGGGAGGTTCGGGCGCAATTGGCATCCATCTATGCAACTCGGTCCGGAAGAAATTCGTTTCGTGTGCCAAGAGAATCTCTGCACCTTCAATCTTCCTCAGATAAAATCGCATAGTCGGGACCTCAGCAGAAGTAAGTCCGAGTGCTGATGTCGTATATGGACGAACATATTCTCGGAAATCGGATGCTGCTTTGATGATATTGTTGAGGCATTCTAGCTCATCGGGAATGAACGGAAGGCCCGGAATTTCGCTGTGCCACTCGATGAGGTCTTCGAGCTTAGGCCGAGCTGCATCGCGAGGTATCTTCACACGATAGTCACAGATAGGACAAGTATATTTATCGTCTTCCTTGACCTTGCCTCTGGCTATCTTCAGACACTTCCCGTGATACCTTTTCCAATGTTAGATGGCTGTGTTCATTAAACATCACAGAAAACATGATTGACATACCACTCATGACAAACTTCACACTCAATCATCATTCCGGCTTCAGGCTGCCTGCAGATACAAAAGACCTCCCGGGGTCGTCCACCCCTAGAATTCTCAAAAGGGCCACCGCTTTTTGGTTCCGGGCTAGGTTCTCTACTAGATGGTTCCACTGGAGTTCTTGGTCGGTCGTCCAGCGCGAAACAGTGCTCATTACGCCCTTCCACATAAGACATGTGCTGGCCCAGAATATGCAGTGGTGCATTTGCTTTCCCGAATAGCTTTTTCCCTCTCCTCATCCAGTCTTCATGGCGTTTTTGCTCTTTTTCTAAATCAATTGTTCCGACAGGCTTGCTGTGGAGCTCCAATAAAGAATCCAATACCTCTCTAACATCTTTATAATGTGGTCTTTTTGATAGGTCTGGCTCTTTGCTCTGATCATATAGCGAAATGATCTGCCTATGAGCCTCCCGTTGTTTATTGAGAATCTGGTCGACTTGTGCTAATGTTTCCCTAGAAACTGGTAATGTTGAAGCTTGACTCGAAAGAGCCTCTAGTTGCTGAAAATGCACGACATCAGCTCTCATCAGCTCCTTGGCCTTGGCCTCCCACATGTCTCCACCCTCTTTCTGGCTTTTTAGAAACATCATCTGTTCGTTATTGTCTGGAATTCCCAGGTCAAGCCCCTGTTTGATCATATCCGCTGTTTCATTGAGGTCCATAAATCTTCCACGGGATTCCCTTGCTAGATCCACCCATTTCAATTGCCGAACAATCTTCTCCAACAAATCTGTCTCAGCCAAGTCAACATTGAAACTTTTCCCAGTCTCGACTAGTCCTTCATAGTCAGCTGTCGATAGAGCCCCAGGAGTAGCCAAAGCGTTCCTGGCGTTTAACTGAAACTCCCGGATTGCATCAGCTCTTTCGCGGAGCTGATCAATTTCAGGGCATTCAAAGCCTATAGTCTCAGCATTTTCCAAAAGTTTCAAAATGCTTTCCAACTTCCTATGTTCGCGCTCTTTTTCTTCCATTTCAGCCTGCTTAGAGCTCCCCTTCCTCCATGCTTTCTCATTTTTTCTGCGGTTCTGCTGCTTGCGTGAGATATATGGAGTCGCTTCATCGACCCATTCCTGTGCACGTTCCACAAAGGTCTTCAAGGGAGCCAATTCCGGAATGTAGCATGGAATCCGCTCACCCTCAGACAATAGTGACTTCAAACCCTTCAGTGCAGGTCTTGGTGTTTCCAGCATTGTCTTCTGCAACTTGGCAGCCCAGGCGGTTGGCATATTCGCCTTGTCATGGACCTTTTGTACGAGTTCCTCAAGGGTTTCGTTCGTCATTTTAAGTCGTAAAGTGAGGTTCGATACCTCACAATCACAAATATCTCGGTAGTGAGACGGACAAGTGACATTGGTAGTGCATGAGCACGTGACCTGTGAAAGGTAACAATAAACTTTACATACCCCACATTGGTATTGATCTTCGCTTAACTCCTCATCCTCGGGTAGAATAGATTGTTTGATGTCAGGAACTTGTTCAAGTAAGCCACGACGTTCAGCAAACTCTCTATTCTTTACCCGTTCAAGAGCAGGTGAAAGCCTAATTAGCAAGAGATTGATTAGCAAACAGTTTTTCCTTTCGTTTCAAGATACAAAAAAGGGCGGCAAACCAAAGCGACGTTCGAATACTAGTGTCTCTTGCAGCAGCAGTAAGTAGTAATTCATCGTGTGAAAAAACAGGTGCTTTCCGAAACTCTCGGTATCTATTAACACCCTCTTGACCAAACGGTTCCCAATCCGAAGGCGCAAAATTAACTGCCTCATTGAAGTTAAACTGCAGAGAGTCAGCAAATACAAACGCCGATTAGTGAGAGGGGGGCAACATACACCGTGGTTGAAGCCTGCATGATATGCTTGCGGGAATGTCACGACAAATTGTCCCGCCCTTTGATCCAACGCATAAACAGTCACCCCAGCCTTCATCAACTGCTTCGGAGTTAGCAGAGTGACCAATTGAAACAAAAGGTCCGGTTGCTGCTCGAACAGCTCTGGTACAGCCTCTCTCATAGCGTTTTCGAACTTTTCCGCGTCCGCGCCCGGAATTCCGTACCATGTCTTGGTAGCTCCGAAATGCTGATAGTTCGAGGAATATGTGTAGTGGTCTTCATTGTGCCAACAGAACGTTGAGAAGCACATACCAACATATAGCCAAGGCACGGTCATCCCAGAAACATCGGATTTAATATGTCTAAATAGGGATTCGGGATGAAGGGGTAGGTTGTTCAGATTCCATGGATCGGTGGAGTATGGATTAATCGGCTGTTTTTCAATGGTCGGAAATCCACTTCCATGTGTGGTTGAATGTATGTCTGCGCCATATTCAACCTCTACCGTCTCATGCACACTTTCCACCAATCTCCAAAACTCTCGTTCTACATCATCCTCGGTAACCATTCGTGGTTTATTAAGGACGGGATCGAACGGCATTCTTGATTGGAAGTAATGAGTTTTAAAGTTGTTCGCTTTTTCTTGAAATTGTCGCAAGGAATAAATTTCGCCATCAGCAAAACCATAATCCCCGGTCCCAACCAAGCAGCGGTTGCAATACCAGTCCCGGTCGGGAACGCTTTTAAGCACAGGGTCCAAGCAGTAGGTATGATAGCCATGATCGCAGCTGTCGCAAAGGAGCAGATTGACCATGTCATCACCACGTCCACACTTTTCGCACTTCTATACAAATATTAGGTACGGCGGTAAAAAGTACTAGAAAGGGAATAAAATATTACCTCTCCTGGATTACTATTGTTACGATCACCGTTCAAGGTTCTGGGCGTTGATGAGGGTCTGTGCAGCGTCATGTGTGATCCAGCTACCATCGGAGCCGGTTCTGGCGGAAGATCAGCAATCGATCTCGGTTAAGTGCTACAACAACCAACTTCATAGAAGAAACCCAGGGATTCTTCTTACCTTTCTTCAACCGTTTGCTTCGTCGTTCGCCGTTCTCTGAATTATCGTCACAATCCATGCCTTTGGCCGAGTCCTTGCTGTCAATGACACCATTTTCCTGGCTAAGACCACGCTTGAGAACAGATCCTATAGTTGATCCTTCGGGCGTGTTTCTTTTGCTAGGTGTAGTGCCATTCTCAATCCTTCTAGAATTGCTAGTCGGCGTTAGGCCTGAGTCCCCTTCTCTTCTGTTTCCGTTAACCATGGTTAGTGGCGTGAAATTGGAAGATCCGACGTTAACAGGTGTGAATCCACCCCCGGTATTGACAGGAGTAAAGCCACCATTCATTGCGGGAGTTGAGCCGCGAACTGGCGTTGCATCTGTCATGTCGGTATCAGATTTATCAGGAGTGCCTCTCAAAGATCCAGCAAGGGTATTCGAAGCCCTGATTGCCGGCGACTCTGGCGGCATACTACCCATCGGAGAATTTATTGACTTGTCCAATGGGAATTTTTTGATCGGTGATCCAGCTGGCGAAGGAGTTATCGCGCCCCTCAGCTCGGCCTCAATTTGCTGCTGCACTCCTGGCTTTGCTGATTTGACCCATTCTTCGTAAGGATGAAGATAACGTTGGTATGAATTTTTCAGCGAGGTTGACAAGCTGGACATAATCTTTCCCGAATATCCCAAATCTCTTCCAATCTCGGCCCATTTTTTATGCTTGCACACCTGGTTAAAACCTCCTCTGATTTCAACAGCCTTTTTCAAGCGATACAAGTCGAGGGGCCGCTTATCGACAGATGGAAACCTGTTTAAATTTGTGCCATGCTGCTTATGATACTTGGACAGCTGATCAAGATAATTTAGGTTTGCTCTAGTGCCTACAGTACGCGAAAATCCAGAGGAATATGATGTCAGTTAAATGGGGAAAAAAAAATGAAAAAAATTCGTTGTTGGATCTGATTCATGGGGAATCTTTTTTTAGAAATTGTGGGCTATGATTACCTCCTTCTACGGAGTTGAGCTCCTGTCTTCTAGTGCGAAAATGAAATCGCTAGTCACACACACACAATGTTAGCAGAGTCCATCCAATCTCTATCCAGCGAAACAAATCTAATGATTCAAATGTTTATAAAACAAAGTCGTTGAGCCAAATAAGCGACGACAGACGCAAAACAATAGAACGTGCTACAAACCTCTGTGTCCACGGCGAAGTCTGGGTTCCAACTTTCCGGTGGAATAATTTTGCAAATCCCATATTTTTTCCCTTCTTCCGAGATGCTTTTGATGTATTCGATTGGGTCCTTCCATTGCTCGAGGGTTGGTCTGTAAGTCGGTGCCTCCAAGAGGCCATGAGGTCGAAATTTCTTTGGTCCTTCTTTAGTTGCAGAACCCCTCCTCTCCACCGTAGACATATCCAAGGCCTGTGCCTTTCGAGAGCTCAGTGGAGCGGATTGATAGCCGCCGGGTCCAGGGTGAGTGGTCGGGATAGTTCCTCCACCTCCAGGACCGCCAGCTTTCATTCTAGTCGAGGGTGCGCGAGGTGACGGACGTGCCGACGAGGCCGCCGCTGAAGACGACGACGACGTAGCAGCAGCCGGCATTACGCAAGGTGTTGGTTTGTTTATTCCGTGGTGGGAATGGCTTTGAGGTAGATAACTGTTGGGTTCGATGGGGGCGGAGGCGGATGTAGATGTGGGGTGTGTCGGTTTCTTATATGGATTGGGGTCTGGAGGGAGCTACAACAGGTATGTATGCTAGTTGCAAGCGTATTATTGCAGGACTGCCGATGTTCATCCAAGCCAAGCATATGTATGAACACACAACGGGGAAACGGAACAGCTACAATATACCGTCTAATATCGTAGATAAATTTTTGGGTGGGATATTTTTGTTCCTCATGCACTCTAGCAAGTGAAAGAGCTACCTGACCGTAGAGACGGTCGGGAAAGTGGGAGTGGATGGCGAGTTTGGGGGGGGTGGGAGGGAACGACGGGGTAGAAGAAAAGAAAGGAAGAAAGGGAACGGGGACAAAATCGGGGAAGAGATCAGACTGAGGAAATACTACAATAGCCTTCGTCCGTCAGGGATCATGTGTGTGGCTGTTATGTATGTATGTGTGTGGTTATGAGGTGGGTGGGTGGAGGGGTGGGCCGTTCGTGGAAGATATGGCTTTTCCTTGCTGACAGCCGCCCGGGGGAGAATGGTTTGATGGTTCGACGAAACAAAAAAAATGATGTATGTAGGGTAGAGAGAGAGAGAAAGGGTGGAGAGAGAATTATGTAGGTACAAGTGGGTAGGGTAGAAACTGAGGCAACAGCAGCAGCAACAGCAAGTAGAAAGCGGATGCGCGGCGAGATCCCTTATAAAACCACCCTTGGGGGGCAATGGGGGGGACAGAGGCAGTACCTACTCTAGCACTCACTAGCAACAGCGGGGGTAGGATATGATTATGTATGTCTGTGAGGAATTGGATGTATGTAAGTGAGTGTAATGGGTTGATAGAGAGGGAGTACAGCGCGGGCGTCTTGCGCTAGCCGCGTCCACTTCCTATTGATTTATTAAGTGATATAGACAGGTACTATCATGTATCTTAAAACGAAAGTGAGTGACTGGGAGAAAGCGCGCAGAACAAAAGGAAGATGTAGATAGGGCAGTCGAGGAGAGAGGAGGGAGAAACACCACAGCTGCAACACGCGCGAAAGAAAAAAGATTGGTAGCACCCAAGGCACGCATTCATGTATCATACCATCATCTATCATACATCCATCACCATACATGGCATGTACCGATACACACGCACATGATACCGACAACATATAGCTAACATTGTGTAGTGATGTATTCCCGGAGTGAATAAAGATCAACAACTTCACGATTGCGTAAATCTTTTTTTTCCCTTCGGGGGGGCGATGATGTATGTACTTTTACAGATGATTCGGTTTGTCGAGTACTTAAATGTATACCCGCCGCTAAGGTTTAGTGTGAAGAGCCCCCCCCCCCAATCCACAGCATCACTACAGCAATTAATACTGATCCGAAAAGTAGACTGCGGAGAGGAAAGCAATTGGAAAAAACAATTCACAGTACTGTACAGCGCTGTACATGAGGTACATCCATACATGTTTGCTAAACAGCTGGCGAACGAACAAGAGCAGAGTCCCAGCAGTAAATTCCACATGCGTCAATGGACCAATGGCCATCCCATATTCGGTCGGTGGACGTTGCTGGACTCCCAGATTCAGCTAGCACTATTCCGCTTTCTGACCGCCGCAAGCGATCTTGCTCTAAAATTCTAGATTTTGAACCAGACCAGATTTTCACAACCAGCACAATTAACCACATCCACACGCCCCCCCGCCCGCGGCCGCAGCCTCCCCTCCCCCCCTCCCCTCCATCACCCCCCAGATACATGTATCCTTAGGATGTGGTATTTCGAGACGTCGGCCGTCCGCCGTCCGCCGTCGAGAAACTGACCCAATGTCCCAATTGCTCTCCGCTTGGCTCCCAAAAGTCCTCGCCCGTTTCGGTCACCATGGGATCCTGTGCAGGGCGCCGGCGATCTGAGACATCCATCCACACACACCTAACCTGCCCACCCCATCAGCGCTGACGAGCAGCAGCAGCAGAAGCAGAAGCAAGGAGGTTGGACGCAAACAAGATATGACCGACGTCAGGTCGCCATCCCGACTTCACCTCTCCAACCTCTTATTTCAACCTCACTCTTCGCCCCCGACTATTAATCATGCACGCCTATTCGAGTACAACCCTTTGAAACCAATTAATGTTTGTCGTGGATTTTATCCGAGCCGCGCAGGATGAAAATAAAATCCACAAAAAATCATGTTAATTAAGCGAACCATACAAAGGAACAATTCCTACATACACAACATACACGTACATACTCTGTGGTGCTTCAGCCTTCATTCCCGACCGGTATTTTATACATTTATTTGGCCTGCTTCCCGACACCAATCCTATGTCTAGAAAAATAAAGACACGTTCTTCAGTACCCTGTCTCGATTTCGGACTTTGCCCCCCCCCCCCCGAGACATTTTGATTCATTTATAAATTCCCCGCGTCGGCTATCGTGCTCCTCGGTACTCGCACTATTAGAACTTATGTAGATTTAGCTTTCGGCTTATCAGTTCGCTGCTTTTCCCTCTAAATCATTGTGCATTTTACCACATTCTGATTCAGGATACACAGTTCATGCGATGTAATGTGGAAGAATAAATATATAGGCAGGATAGCTTGGCTGTCGCCATTTAAATATCAAAAAATACATATAGATGTAAATGAGCAGAGGCTGAGGTACACATAACATCACACTCAATCCTTAAGCTTTGAGCGGGGCTCCCTGGGCCCGAAAACTTCCCATGCCTGATCAAATCCAGCACCTCTTACCCATGCACGAGGACCCCCATGGCAGTCACCCAACCCTTCAGCGCTATCGATACCTGTATATGTGTCAGCAAATCTCAATTAATATCTTTAATAGAACTAACGGAACTAACTCATAGCAGCGATCTTCCTCCACATGTTACCCACAACGGGCAAATTCAACTTCTCTCCATATCTTGCAGCGAGCCTCTCACCATGCGCCAGGGCCCTGATGGTCTTAATGGTATGGCCATCGTCTTCTACGTGGATTGAACGTTCAATAATATCAAGCCATGGGTTTCCAACGCCGTCCTGTGAGACCTTTGGTTCATAATTTTTAATCTCGTCCGTGTGGAGTACCGGTGCACCAATTGCAACATAAGTGAGTATGTCGAAACGAGTCTTCCATTCTAGGAGACGGGCCTTGCTCTCTGAAGTTATCCAATCCTGGGCATTGAAGACCGATATGAAGATGGCCGTCGTCACACAGTGAATCAAGAAGAAATCCACTTTGACCTCCTTGTCCTTCCGCATGGCACCGCCGAGCATAAGAGCTTGGGGACATCAAAAGTTAGCTCGATATATATGCAGCTAACGGGCTCAACCGGAAGCTTACCCGCTATGTTGAGTGATTCGGCAGTTTTCTCGTCGATCTGGTCAACAGGTACTCGGTACTGTTTGGCATATGAAAGAATTGGGTCCATTGCATCGTGGAGAATAGTTGAGAAATAGTTATACAGCTGCCTATCGGTGCCTGGATTGCGGAAAATCGGATCATTTTGGACCTCGTTGAGGATATCCAAATATGGCTTGCCGAACTCCTTCAAGAAATAAATCACAATGCCTCAAGATTTGGGGTGATATCAGGAGACCGTACCTTACTGTCAATATCTATGGCATCCGCTAATGCCCCTTTCAGGAAAACTGCTGTCCAGTCATCACTACATGCCGCAGTAGCAAGTCCTACCGGAACTAGTCCAGGAATATCGAATTCCAACCCGTACCCAATACGGATGATTGGATGATATAAACCTATGCCCCGCAGTCATTACCAATGCTCGTCAAATACCCCACAATGGGCACTCACCGGAAAAACAACGGGCCAGAAGGTCATCTGAAGCCTCCGTCCCCGCAAAGAGTCTCTTGTTTAACATAGCTGGCATGCCAATCTCCTCCATCTCCGTCTGGAAAAACGTAAGAAAATCAGACCAACGGTCCTTGTCGCCAAGATGCTTGTGCCATTGGCTTTCGTCCGATAGGTCCACGACGACCTCCGAGTGGAGCTCTGGGGGTGCACGCTGCACCTGCTTTACACGATTGTATATAGTGTCCAAATCAGCTGGAGTGGCCCCAAAGTCGTAGGTAGCCAGGAGGTCGTCGGACATGTGGTTCTGGTGGTGTTAGTAGCGATATCTCCAATACCAAACGCTTCAGCAAGGGACAAACATGAAATCCTGGCTAACGTCAGTATTGTGCAGTAGGTCCGGGTAAACGTTAATACAATACACACCTCTATCATTGAAGAATCCATGGTAATCATCTTGGTTCCTTTGCAAGAGTTCGCTGAGCTTGCGAGAGCTCTCAGCGGTGATTCCTGGGAAAGACATCAAGCCTCCCTTCCCTGGAGTTATCGAAAGATCCGCAGACTTAATTTTATTCTGGATCGCAGTTATTGGTGCCATTGTCAATGATTTGGAGTGGTATTTGTGTTTGTTGGTTGTTTTGGTGTTTGTTCTGGTGTTGGATGTGTATGCCCTTCCAAAAGTTAGGCGGAAGTTGCGAATACTTATACTCACATCCATACCTATGCCCTTTACAATTTAGACATGCTGAACTTTTCAAAAAGTGTATAACTATTTTTATTTTCCCCACCCTAGAAAGAAGCCATATTGCGGCTGAGATGATTGCACTTAGGGTCAATGCGAATGTCGCTGATCAGCAGTTTCTTTTGTTTTTCCCGAGATTCTTAGTGCCTTTTTTTCCCTATCGGCCGAAGATTTAGTTTTTCCCCGTGATAGTCACGTTTTTCCATGATCACGAGCATTTCGTCCGATATACCGGGATGGTACTCTGAATACGAGCGTCCTCCGAGGACCCCACTATAATAGTATACATACGATTTGGGATCGAGCAGTACATTGAGCATCTATTGGTAACGGATCAAGCTTCGGCCGAGTAAACCCCTTCTTGGAAAATGCCTAGAGCCCGAAAGTTTGTAATGACTTGGTCGAGTGACAACTTGTGATTGATAGTATGACACGGTATCCCTAGGAATCTTTGTTAGATTCTTTGGACATCTTCTGGCAAACATCTATCAATTCGTATTCTAGTCTCTGGTTGCCCTATAATTGGCGTTTATATGTTTATTTGCTTTTGAGAAAGCTGTAAGCCGCGATAATACTACCTACATGTACACTTTATTTTCACGCAATGGCATTGGATACTGTCCTACAAAAGGGCAGTAAGTTCGGATCACACGATTAAGACGATTCTCGAATCGGCTCTTTAGAAACAGAACACACAACTATGTAAGCTACCGTTGCTTTGATTTGCAAACCATATAAACCAGAGTTTCGAGCTCCACAGATCGCCCCAAACCCAAATAAATGATATGTGATCAACCGTCGATATCCGCCATCATCACCACCCTTGTAACATCTGTAAACCCCTCCGGCAAATAGAATCCTCAGGCTTTGAAATAGCGTTCGTGTTGAAACACGAGAAGAAAAAAAACCCGGACTCCGGAATATCCAAACCCACTATACAGATGGCTATACGGCAAGAAACATATCTTGAATAATCGCACGATGGTTGATCGCAACCGTTGAGCGTACAAGAAATCTTGATCAGCTTCATTGCTTCGGAATGTTGACTAACCATACCGTACGAGATATTACGCTCCTCCTTCTCTTTTTGGAATGTTGACTCACCATATAAGATGCTGAAGATCATAGCATCCTGAGGATTTCCCCACAACGAGAGCTTCGCAATGTCAGCATCAGCGAAAACACTAGCTCCAGACCTCGTTTTGATACCAAGCTTCTTACAAACCAGGGGTGTAAAGTAACGAGGCCACGCTACGGTCTGGGCCCACCACCCGTCTCACACCCTCCCCCCCGCCCGCGACGGCGGATGAAAGTTGTCCCGTCTATCCGACATGCGAGGCGGCTCGTGGATTGCCGAACGGTGGGGTGTGTAGAGCTCAACCAGATATAGGAGCTTGTTGCCCCGAGTTTTGGGGGCTTGAATCGTGTCGATCTGGTCAACAACTTATTTACGCATACCTACTCGCCCTGCGCGCGGCTGCCTAACTTTATTACAACCTATGTGTGTGTGACTATGACCTGGAGAAATGAGTTCAGCAAGAAAAAGGTATTAGTTCATCTATCTATCGAGTCAAACGACTACACTATCTTATCCAGATTGTTTTTGACACTTTACAGGGGTAAAACCTAGAAATAATAGAGGGTAAAGAAAAAAATACAACCCAGCTCTCCTCCCTGCTCAAGAGCCCCGGAACTTTCATACAGAAAAAGAAAAGAAATATAAGGATACAACTCTCCTGAGCTTGGTTAAAGCTTCGGAACAGCACAACAGTTAACAGTTACAGCATCTACCCATCGAAAAAAAAAGAAATAGGAGCTTACGGGAGACAGAAGTCGTCCAGTAAAGAAAAATAAAATAAAACGCCATGGCCAGTGATAAGAGCGCCCCACGATCAACAGAAAGCAAGCAAGGAATCCACAAATACTCCGTACCCAAGCAAGCAACCAACCGAACCAGCAAATAAGACATCCCAGGATTAATTATCAACGAAACAAATAGGAAAAGATAGAACCGACGAGATGATGCAGTGTCGGGACCCATATTCTAATAGATGTTTGGAAATATGCGGGTATGGCAGCGGTGGAGGAAGCTTAACGGCAACAGTGGTGGAGACTAAGCTCTTTCTTGTCGTTATGGGCACTACAGTGGAGATGTCAGTAAGAAGCTCGGAGGATGAGTAGCTGTTTAAAGGTTCAGCGAGAACTAACCCATCGAGACTATTCCTCCTGGAAGCGGGAATGGCGAATGGCAGAGTGAGGCCAGCCTGGAAACGAGAGAGATTGTTAGCATGGGTGGGCAGAGTGAAGGGAGGTAGCAACCGCAGCGGTAAAGCTCAGATAGAGCTCGGGCAAGCTTTGAATAAAGAGTAGGAAGCTACATGGAGTAGTAGCAGAGATAAAAGGAGATAAAAGGAGCAGGAATTAAATGGAAACTTACGACGATATAGCCATACATGACAAAGGCCTTAGGAGAAGTTGAGGAAGTGGAAGCGCGCTTGGAGAACATGCGCACAGTCTGGAATGGAAGCGACATCTTTTATTGTTTGGTAGAGAGTGAGTTGCTGGGAATGTATTTATTCAGAGGTCAGAAAAGCTGCACTAAGAGCAATTGACGAGTAAATAGATGAGATTTGTTTGGTTTTTGTGGGGAGGTGGAGAAGGATGAAAGAGTTTAGGAGCTGTGTTGCCTTTAAGTGTTCCCACAGCTCCTGTTAAGCTCACAGCAAGCTCGTCTTCATATCTAAAGATCAGATTATAGAAAAAGGATCTTTGCAACACTAGCGAATCACAGGGGAGGGATTTCAAAGTGATTTTCAGCGTTTGAGTCCTCACGCGCGGCGTATTCTGGGGTACATAGGGGGTTACAGCCTGTGTGAGTGGACATCTAGCGTGAGGAGAGCACGCGAACAACATCCGAAATGGTGCGGGTGGTGAGCTGACATTTGGGGCTTTCTTCCGGAAGAATCCATGGTGGACATTTGGAGGGATGTTATGTAAATACAAGCAACCAACGCGGCGAAATGGACTCAGCCAGCCAGCCAGCATTAATTGTGTATATAGCCAGCCAGTAGATAAGATACATGTGCCCACTGGGGCGAGGAAACAAGGGAATGAAATCTCACGTTAGGATGCATCTGTAAAGTACATATAGGTAGGAGGTATCCATTTGTAATGTGGGTGTGGGTTAGGTGAATATACTACCCTGCCCTGGCATGCTTTGGCGGTTCCTGAACCAAAAAGGGCAGAGAACGAGCGTGGATAGGGGTTCGTCGGATGATCCCCGTGAATCACTCCACGTCGTTTCACTCGGTAACGAGTAAGGCATCAAGCAATCAATAGCACAAATAATGAAAATACAAGCTTAAGGTTCCCCCAAGTGCTGAGCCCTGAAGATGGATGGCGTGTATGTATTATTGTACATACATGTATGCTGGTACAATTTATGTGCTCTACTCAACGACTGTGGGGTTGCATATGACTTTACAGGCGAGAAAAGTGGAATGATAATTGTAGGCAGCGAGTGCATTCTTGTGATCCTGTGCAGTGCTGCCTTGTTTGAGGACGCCGTGGCGGACACCTGTGTGGGTGTGGTGGACTTGATGTAACCAAACATGGGTTCTGCAGACTACCGACTCCACAAATCGGCTTTTACCGAACCTCACTCAACTCAACTGAGAATATCGTCCCGAGTAGGTAGCATACCCACCACCACCCCCGCCAAAAAAACAAAATAATACTTACACAATAATTATTTGCTTCTTTAGAATATATTGAGCCTTGTTTAGAGACTTCTGAAACGAGGCTCTGCACGAATCTCCGGACGCCGGTGCTTGTTTGATTGCGAAGAATACGTACGTCCTCTACAGCTACATAGCACCTGCACGTATTCACCCCCCGTGGGAATTAATTCCGAGCCTTGCAATTGTTGCTATGGTCAGGACGCCGAAACAAGGCCACGCACCACGAGTATGTAGTACTTGCGCAGCGCGGGGAGGTTTTAATTTATATATATTTCTTGTACCTACACTTTCGGGAGCGCTGTTGTACCAATGTCATTTATATTGCGAGACCCCCATGCGAGTGATCCTGACGTGAAGCTATGGGCTCTAAAGCGACGACACTCAATGCACCATAGCTACATGTAGTAGGTATTGCGCGTCTAAACCACATTAGGGTATCTGTGGGGGGAAAGCTTCATCCGTGGGGGGCCCGACACATCAGACCAAGCTTGAGTGAGATCTCATGAACATAATTTCTGAGGTTACTGTTTTACTCTGTTTTCCGGGTATTCATTATGGCCTACAGAAACAGCAATCCCCCATATTTTGTACCCACCATCGCAAAAAGTTTAATGTCATAAAATACAGAAGCTAAAGAGAAAAGGAGAACCCATATCCTTCCCGTGTTCTCAGAATTAATTCCATCACTAGTCAAAGCGCTCTTTAAATCTACGCCTCTAGCTCATCTGCAGCAATATCGTCTTGATCCTTGCCAACAATCGCATTCGACACTTTCCAGCATTGAATGAGATTGTCCTCAGCCGCCGAGACCATAACCCATGGGTCATTGGGGTTCCAAGCGAAGTCTGAAACACGGTTGGTGTGGCCTCCGTGCATAAATAACCTGAATAACAACTTGTTAGAATATCAATAAAGACTCTTGGTAGGCGATTGAACATACAATTCTGGGGGACCATCCTCGGCGTCTTCAGCACTTTGCTCTTCCCCAATTCTCGCCAAGTCCCAGAAACAGATGCGCCGATCAGCGCTGCTAGACGCCAGAATAGGTTCCTCATGTGGATGCCAGCTCAGTCCGTTCACTTCCGCGTTATGACCCGCCAAACTGTGGAGCTTGAG